TTTTTAAGCTCAAAGATTTAGGCTCGTTGAAGTATTTCTTAGGGCTTGAAATTGCCCGTTCCTCAAAGGGCATTTTCTTGTCTCAACGCCATTATGCCCTACAAATCATTGAAGATGCTGGTCTCTTGGCTTCTAAACCTGCTTCTCTGCCCATGGATCCACATATTAAGCTTCATGCTTCTATTGGTGAATTATTGACTGACCCTTCTCAGTATCGTCGAATTATTGGTCGCCTTCTTTATCTCACCATATCCARGCCTGATATAACGTTTGCAGTACATCGTCTCAGCCAGTTTGTTTCTCAGCCCCGACGTCCCCATCTTGATGCTGCCCTTCAGCTACTTCGATACTTAAAAGGGTGTTCTGGGCAAGGTATTCTTCTGCCCTGTTCTACTTCTTTTCAGCTAAGGGCATTCTRTGATGCTGAYTGGGCATCATGTYCGGACTCTCGCAAGTCCACAACTGGATTTTGCATTTTTCTAKGGGAGTCTCTTGTATCTTGGAAGGCTAAGAAGCAAACAACGGTATCTCGTTCTTCTGCTGAAGCCGAATACCGTGCTYTTGCAGCCACCACCAGTGAAATAGTATGGCTTACTCACCTTCTTAAAGATTTACAAGTTCCTTTCCAACCGCCGGCTCTTATGTTTTGTGATAATCAAGCTGCCATTCACATTGCYACACAWCCTTCATTTCATGAGCGAACAAAGCACATAGAAATTGACTGTCATTTCGTTCGAGACAAAGTTGTTGACGGTCTTGTGAAGCTTATGCCTATTCGTTCGGATCTTCAGCTAGCCGATGTTTTTACAAAGGCTTTGTCTTGTAACTCCTTTTCACTTTTGTTATCCAAGATGGGTGTACTAAATATACATCTTCCATCTTGAGGGGGAGTATTAGGATTTAAGTTTACCAATGTATATTAACTTAATTCAGTTGTATTGTGTAACTTAGGTAACTGCTTGTACAGTGGTCTATATATACTGCCACTTTGACATTAATAAAAATAAGCAAGTTTTATTTACTCTCATGATTTCAATAGTAAGCTTAACAACACATTTCAGATTACAAGATATCATCCTCCTCCAACTCCTTTCAAAGTTGCAATAGTTCACATTGAAAGGAGTTGAAAGAAATTTCAGATAACCAGATATTTCAGTAACAGTGAACAAACTCTCATCTGTTGAATTCACACTTGCTTTTCCTTTCTCATTTTCCAAAAAGCACCACATATATTGAACAATCACTTCAGTCAACAAAAACCCAAATCACAGCAAACAAATCCATGGTTTCCAAGAGAAAAAAGAAAACCTCAGAACAAACATGCCATTAACTTTCACCATTTCATATTCCAGAACTGATCCAGAAAAACACTTTAAAAGACACAAACTGAAATCTAAATCAAGAGTCTGCACCTAAAGCTCAAGCAAATAATCCAAGAAAGACAAAAACTACCTCAAATGGCCTCTGTTCTTTCTCCAAGGCAATCGTTCCTCTTACATCCAGGAATCTTCTGGAACTGCTGCGCCGACAAGGTCTCAGACAAAAATCCAACAAAGAAATCGATGGTTCCCTCGGCCGGATTAGCCTTGATCCCGGTAACAGAGACCCACAAGAACAGCTTCTTCGCCTGAATTCCAGAAGCATCCACCACAGAACCGTAGCTCAATTTCCCCTTGATTTTCTTGTCGTAATAGACCAGCAAACTGAACTTCACATAACACTCGCTCTCGAGTTCGATTTCGAAGCTGCCGTCGTCTGAGAGAGTGTAGGACTTGACATTGCTCGGTAAGAGGCCCTTTGGGAAACCGTATTGGGGCAGAAGTTCGTGGACATCGGCTGTTGACTTGAGGGGGAAAGATGGACGGTTCGATTCAATTTTGGGATCTGTCAATGAAATGGAGAGATGGGTTTGAGTGCAAATGGCGAGAATTAGAAGGAATGGGGAGAAGATGGTTCTGGAGAAGGAAGCCATTGATGGAGTTTCGAGGTACGGACAGTGATCACAAAGAGGGAGTCGCCGCTTGATTAGAAGTTTTTTTTTTTTCCCCTGGTAAATATGATTTGTCTACGAAGTCCAATTCTGCAAAATACAACCTAAAACCTAACTCGTAATTGATATATATCTAATTTTGCACCTAATTCGAAATTGATATATATCTCCAATTAATAATGGAATGTATAAATCTGTTCTTTCTGTTAACAAAAACATAGTTAGGTAAATCACACATCATTTCAATTTGATCCCTATAATTTTTAAAATTTTCAATCAAGTTTCATCGTTCTTGAGATAGTAGGCATCTTATCTACTGAATTATTGACATTTAAAAACTTATCTTATCTACTGAGTTATTAACTTAAAAACTTACATTTTTTAATCTTAATATAAGTAACTAATAGCTCATTTCCATGAAAAAAAAAATAGTTTAAGATTGGTTTGTTAATGGATATTAATGTTGTGGATTAATGGATTAACTGTATGAAAAAGGAATGTCATGGATTAATGGATTGGTTTGTTAATCTTCAAGAAAGGAAAAACTTGGCCAGCCTTCTAACCTTGGTAAAATAATCAGATTTTTTTTTTCTAAATCATATATGTTGCAATGTGATTTAGTTGAATCATTACACTACATTATGATCTATTAAACTACAATCTTGCAAGGCGGGCCTTATAGTTATCGTCGTCTATTGTGCCTAAATTAGTACTTGATTAACTATAGGATGATTTTGTTTACATTACCTTTTAAAATATAGTCTATAATCCCACATGACCACTTGAGATATATGTTTAGGTGGAGAGATACTTTTATGAAATACATTATCTCGATGAAATTGATTATATATTCTAAGATACTCACCTACTTTAGGAATTAATAATTCTATGTGTTTTTTGACCCCAAATATTGTAGGGTCAGACGGTTGTCCCATGAGATTAGTCCATGTGCACATAAGCTGCCTTGGAGATTCACGGATATATAAAAAAAAATATATATAGATGACCATTTAGGTAGAGAAATCATAATATATATAAATATTTATTAGGGGTGTTCATAAATTGGGTTGGATTAAAGTACTTTTAGACCAAACTCAATTGTTCGGATTGTAAAGTTATTCAAACTAAATAATCTTTATTAGATAATGAACTTAATCCAACCAAATCATGAAATATTTTGGTTAGGTTGGTTCGAATTATTTGGATCACTCATTTAAAATATTGTATAAAAAAAGATCGTAATAAATGTTAAACATCTATTTACATATTTTTTAATATTGATATATTTATTTATATGTGAAAAATTATACTAGGAAAACTTAAAACTTATTTTTAAAAGTTGCTGTGTTTTGTTTTTTTGAATTGGATGTTTCAACATTCGAGAGAAGGAATAAGATGTCTTAACCGTTAAGTTATAATCATGTCACACTCATAAAAAACTATGGAATGAAATAACATTTAAAATAAATATACCCCTACATAATTTTAAGGTAAGTAAAAGAAATAATTTAAAAAATTAATAATAAATTTGAATTTGTTCGATTTAACCCAAATTTACGACCTTCAAACTAACTTAACCTCTAAAGTTTTCATTTATTTGAACCTAGTCGACCGAAATAAATTTATACCCCAACTGAATGAAGAGATGGTTGGATTAGTAATTACACAAAAAGTTTTTTTTTTCCTCAAATCATGTTACATCAAAGCTAGAGAGAGAGAAATTTTTTTGAAAGGTCCAATATATAATACACAAATTACAAATACACCCCCACTTCCACTCCCTAATGGAACTTAAGGCTTGTCAAAACATTGTTGTTGACAGGGTCAGACAAGTGGTCCAAAAGGTTTTGGTAAGGCCCAACACCAGTGACAAGGCCCTGTACGAAGAAGCCCAAAATTGCCAACATGGCCAGCCTCCCATTCTTCACCTCCTTCAGCTTCAAATCCTTCAATGACTTCTCATCTTTACCAAACCCTAATGGGTTGAACAGAGGCCCACCAGGGTATGCTGGCTCCCCTGACCCACCCAAGAACTTCTCCAGGCCCAAGAAGTACTGCTTCCCCATGGACCCTGGGTTGGCCCAATCCTGGAACCTTCTGTGCTCTGCAAAGCCCATTAGGGCCATCTCGAAAACAAAGAGAGTGTAGGGGTCTGCCCAGTAGTTGTAGGTCCCTGCTGGAGGGATCACTCCTGTTTTGAACCATGGGAGGGCTGTTTCTGGGGGGATTAGCCCTAGGGATCCTAGGATCTCTGGGGCTATGGCTCCTACTACTCCTAGCATCGCGTACCGCCCATTGATCACCTCGCCGTAGGCTAACCATTTTGGCTCGATGAACCCTCCGGTTCCTTCTGGGTCCGATAGCCCCAGCGGATCGAATCCGTAGTCGCCTGGGAGACTGGTAGATCAAATAGTTAGTTTAAGAACTGCGATTTTGAATCTATAAATCTTTTTTTGTTCCTTATTTATGGTTCTAGACAAATATAAGTTTTTAGTAATTGGGTTTTCTTTGTATCTTGTAATTTTAAAAACAACGAGATCAACTCTCATTTCTGACTTTATGTTTCTTGTTTATATTGTATCACTTTTTTTTTTTTTTTTTAACTTATAAGAGGTATAGAACAAGAAACTGGAATAAGAAAGAAAGAATACGAAATAATTACTAAACATGCTTGTCTTTCTTTGTCAAAAGCAAGATCTAGAAACCGATAAACAAGAACATTGTCCTAACATTATTGTTCCTGTTTTTTCCCACTTCGGGTAAGTTACCTATGTTTCTATTAAAAAGAGCAAAAAAGGTACCGAAGTTTTGAGAATAATAAAATGAAGATGTCTATACCTTCCATCCAAGTAAGAAAGACTTTGTTTTGAAGCGAACCATAGTTGTCTATTTGCCCCTTGCTGCAATCATATCGAAAACGTTAAACCATTACTAAATTCAAAAGCTTAAGATTACAATAAATTTAATATGTATTCGTATCCCTAATCCTCTTCCTTCCGGTCATTCCAAACATAATTCAACTAATTAAGACAAACCAATAAAAAGAGGCAACAACACTACAACAGTTCAGCCAAAGATTGAGTAGCTCTAATACTATATCAAACTATCACCGAATTTCGTTAATACTCAAAGATGATTATAGAAACTTGGAAATCTCCCGCTCTGATAGCATATTAAGCAACGATGAAACGAGGGGTAATTAATGTACCTTAACGGGAGGGGTGGCTTCAGCTCTGACAACAAAGGAAGCTGATTTTCTAGAGGATCCAAAGGAGGGTCTTGCCCCAAATCTGTGTCTGGCTGCACCAACTGAAGAGGTTAAAGAAGATGATACAAGTGCCTGAGTAGCCATTTTTGTTGCAGAGAGAAGGGAATTAAGCTGAAGAATATGGTTGTGGTGCTGCGATGACTGATGAGAGAGAGGAATATGAATAATAAGGCAGTGGTTGAAGAAGGGCAAATTTAGAATCCAAATTCTGGCTGAGATTTGATATGGCCCCAGGGTTTGGATTGGGTTGGGATCTCACAGTCCAACTGCAACTCTACACGTGGACTCCATGGTTGGGGATAAGAGATATTGTCATCCACTTCTCTATTGATTCACTTATAATTCTATTTTCATTTGCAAACATAAGCAATATTTGAACGGTAATACATATCTACTTATTTTCTTGAAATCAAACTTCTATATACTAAATTTGTTGTATAAAAAAAAAACCTATGTTATCTAATAATTAACATAGGGGCCAAAATTATGGTATTTTACTAATGACTGATAAAAATGTTGTATAGTTTATTGATGAAAATAAAATAGCCAAAATGAGTATAGTTCAACAGTAATTGACATATATCTTCAGGTTGTGAGTTCGTCCTACCCTCACATGTTGTACTAAAAAAACGATGAAAATGAAATAAATACGAAAAAACTTTAAAAATAGTTGAACCTGAATTAAAAGTAACCCAATATCATACGGAAAAAGTAATAATATTAACTTATAATGAGTAGAATATTAAACTAATTAGGAAATTAGGAGGGGTACATTTTATCCTTAAAAAAAATTGTGACCTCCCACCTAATTAGTTTCGTTTAAGGAGATCAACTTATCTATTTCATACGATAGGAGGTCAATATCCACGTAACTAAACTGGTCCAGATATTATTTACTTTTTAACTATTTAAGATTTGAATCTCGCCGCTTTTTATTAAACTCAAATAAAGAAATACAATAGTGCGTCAATATGTACATAATTAACTGGTCAAATATTTATAGACACTGTATTTGGTCCGCCTTAATTTTAATTTTAATTTTAATTATTATTATTATTTTATTAAGTTTTATTTTAATTATTTTGGTTAAAAACCACATAATTTACTTTATTATTAGTTTTAAGATAAAGTTTAAATTAAAAAAATTAGATTTATTTAAAGGTTTTGATTTTATTAATAAGAAATTAAAAAATATTTTTTTTAAAATAAAATTTGATTTTATTAAAAGGATTTTGTTTAAAAAAAGAGAATTTGACTTTATTTTAGATAAAGATTTTATTTAAATATTTAATTTTAAGAAATAGATATTCATGGGGTTTGATTTTTTCTTTGTAAAAAACCTCCTCAGTGTCACACTCTCTCTTTTGTTCATAGTGTAGATAGTTAGAGAGAAAAGAGTGAAGCCTAGTCAAAGTTTGATTTATAAACCCCTCACATTTTCTTCTTCTCTCCCTCTCTAAAACTCATCTTTTTTCCTCCATAACTACCACTTCATCTCCTCCCCTTTCTTATTCCACCACCACCACCTTTTCTCCTTCATACCCACGACCTCCAGCGACGCAAGCGAATGACAGGACCTCCAACCACGAATTCCAACGACCTCCGACGACACGAACGACACAGCAGCAACAATCTTCTTCACACCTTTTTCCAAGCTCACCGGCACTTCGACGACCTCCCTCCCAGGAGTGTGCTTTAAGTGAGTAAAAAATACGTTTTGGAAAGAATCTTTGTTTAATAAGGGAAAATTGGTTTTGAAAATGATGTTTTAATTTGAAACATATTGTTTTGTTTTTATAAAAAGGGATTCTTCTTATTCTTATTATTATTATTTTTTTTTGAAACAACATTATTTTTAGAAGAAAAGATGTTTTTTTTTTTTGGTTTTTTGAAAAGAAAACGTTTTTAATAAGAAACCAATCTTTTTTAAAGATAAAAGAAAATCTTCTAAATTAATTTTAAATAAGATTTTAAAAAAAAATAAAGATTTTGATATTTTAAAATTTGTTTCAAAATAAAAGAGTTTTTCTTTTTCGAAGATGAGTTTTTTTTTTAAAAGAAAAGATTTGTTTTGTTTTTAAAAATGCAAAAGTTTTTTATTTTTTTAATAAGTCTCCTTTAAAAGTGAATAAAATATTTGTTTAATTTCGATTCCATAGAAAGAAAAAAATGATGAGGGAAAAAGTTTTAAGTTTAAAAATAAGGTTTTAGAGGAAAGTAAATACTGAAAAGAAAATTTTTGTTTTAAAATAAATAAATCTCAAAGTAAGTAAAATTTGTTTTTGAAAGATGTATTAAATAAGTTTTGAAAATTTTAAATAAGATGCTTTGTAAATAAGTTTGGTTATATATATAAGTTTTTTTTATAAGTAAAAAAGTTTTAAACGAATTTCAAACCCAAAATAAAATAAAACGTCTTTTTTTTATAAAAAAATTTCGTTTATAGTTTTTTCGTTTTTTTTAAAACAAAATTCAATAATAAAAAGTTTGTATTTTAAAAAAGAAACTTAAGTTAAGGTGTTGGCACATTGGCAGAAGGGTTGAGTGTTAACAGTTATGTCTAATAAAATCTTTCTAATGTCATTCGTGTCACTCATACCTATTGATTCATATCTTATAACAAAGTGTGAATTAATATAACGTAAGACATTTCAATTAAAACACAAAAATATTTTTCTCTTTTTGGACCAAATAAAATAATAGGATAATTTTTTACAAAATGTGGTCCCGTTTTCGAACGGGTGTCGTAGAGTGCTAACACCTTCATTACGCTCAGTCGATTCCTGAACCAACAATTTATTTTTTGTAGACCAAGTTTTTTTAAAATAGGTGACCAATCACACTTCGTAGATGATTAGTGGCGACTCCAAACCCTTATCTCGAATGAGACCATTCAAGGGGATGATGTCGGCTACTCCGCGTCGCGATGACGTTGTGACAGCTTGGCGACTCCACTGGGAACATTAAGAGAGTCAAGCCATTTATTTTGCCATTTATTCTCCTATTGTAATATGTTTTAGGTCCATTTTTATTGTTTTTTTTCATTTAATTGTATTATGATTTCATTTTGCATCATGTATCTCACACACGTTCACAAGCCTCCTACCTGGGCTTTACCTTCTAGGATTAGGTCGGAGACTGAATAGTGTGACCTTCGTGAAATTTCGATTCCTGTGTAGTCGCATGAAATTCTCCACTCAAGTCGACCATATTGCCAAAGAATATGGAATATTTGAGGGTCATTATCCTTTAGGATGCATTAGTACATAACTTCACACCATATTCGTATTGCATTTGATGTGGGTTGTTATGTTGTTCATGGCATATTGTAAATTAAATGAAAAAATTAGGGTTGATTTGGAGTTTTAATCCTAAGGTTTTAAAATTAACCACATTAAAAAAAAAAGAATAAAAAATCATTTACCTTATTTCTTCATAGCTATTTGTTTAATTATTTACTTGTTTTTAACATGCATCTACGTCACATTTATTTTACTTTTTTTAGTCACATATTTAGCTTATTTCCAAGTGAGTTTATAAATGTTGTCTTTCAAAGGGGTTATAAATGTCCTTATATAGGCACGCAAAAACTTTCAAATTTATTCACTTCTATCCAAAACTTAGGAGTTCGGCTTTATAACCATAGAGTTTAATTTTATGTGCATATTCATGTTTTTCTCTCTTAAGGTGAGTTAGAGTCTAGCATTGTATTTGCATGCACTAATAATTGCGTGAAATATTGTTAAAAAAAAAATAATTGCATGAAATATGTATCATATTATTAGCGCACTTTGTAGCATATTTAAATGAGTTTTTTTCCTTCTAGTAAGGAAAATTAAAAAAAAAAAACTCTATCATAAACTAAAAGAATATATCTTGCATGCATCATTCCACATGTCCATGGTATAAATTAAATAAAAAAAAACATCTATCGTTCCCATGCATCATTTCATCTGTTTATATATAATATATATATATATATATATATATAAAAGGTCTATATTTCGTATGCATCATTTTACATGTTCATAATCATTTCAAAAATTTCCCTCTAATTTCTATCAAACATTTGCATAACATCATCTCATACATATCAATTCTATTTAAAAAAAAAATCTAAATTTTGTGCATTCTCCATTACATTATCAGCAATAACTTTTATTTCTATCTTTAGAGAAAATAGCTCAACACACATATTTTTCATTCTAAGAATACATGGGAAACTACGGAAGAACATATTGTTAATTAGAGTTTAGTGAGACGAGCTATGAAAAATCAAAATTTTTAAGCTAAATGAGATAAGAGATGAGATCCAAAAGTATGTGGGGATAATTCAAAATGTTGAACTACAGAAGTTGAAATAAGATATTGATAAAATTTAGGAGCAAGTTATAAAATTTGTCAATGTTTTGAAGAATATTGTTAGCTGGGGCATTTCTCAAGTTAATAATTTAGCTGAAGCTTTTAATTCTAATCTACCTAGATTTGATTTTAAAAAGAACGTAAGTATGTGAAAATTGAGCTATTTTTCTTAAAAGAAAAAGTCAAAGTCAAAGTCATACATTCATTCATTCTTACCTCACTGCATATCATATCATTTGTAAAAAAAAAAAACAAAAAAACAAAAAAAAAACATGTTTTCTTTAAAATCCTCTTGATAAAATCGAAATACATGTTTTGAGATTTTCAATAACAATTTTGTAAGGTCTACCTTTACCACCTTTGTTAGTTAATACGTTAGCAAGAGTCGTAAAGCAATAATTGTAGGTGACTTGGAGAAGAAAAAAAAGGGTGTGAAGAAAAAGTGAAAAAAAAGGAAAAATGGGTAAAAAAAAATGAATGTCTTAAATCTTCTTAATGAGATAGAAAGATTATCAAATCTCAACCATTTTACCTTCCTATTTAAAAGATATTTCTCCAAGCTTTGTTGACAGGCTGAAATCCCTAACTCAAACAGCTTTATGTTGGCCTCTATATTTCTTCTCATGTATAAACCAGTAAACCACTAAATTTTCATACTTTAGGTGATAATCCGAAATTACTCACCCTCTATAAAATCTTGACCTAGCCTGCTTTGTTCCTAATCTACTTTGAACCTAACCTACCGACATATGGTAAATATGGTTAACACTGAGAGTGACCATTTACAGCAAATTAAAAATCA